TCTTAGTCAATGGACAAGGCGTTCGTTGGAGGATCCGTGCTCCCTGATTGGCCAGATGTTACAGCCAATGGCAGAACAGATCTCCTTCACGTGGTCCAGCGGGCGCCCGAGCATCCTGGCCCAGGGGAAGGAGCCGCCCTACCGGGGGGAAGATGACGCCGCCGGTGGAGCCGGCGCTGAGCACCGAGCGCCACCACCAGCGGTAGTCCTCGCCCGAGAGCTGGAAGTAGGTGAGGGCCACGGAGATGCAGGCGCCCACGCTCAGCAAGATGGCGAAGACGAAGAAGAGGATGCCGTAGAGGGTGTACTGCTCCCGGCCCCACACCGTGGCGAAGATGTAGTAGAGTTCCACCGAGATGGCACTGGAAGAGGAAGGTGGAGCACCGAGCGCCACCACCAGCGGTAGTCCTCGCCCGAGAGCTGGAAGTAGGTGAGGGCCACGGAGATGCAGGCGCCCACGCTCAGCAAGATGGCGAAGACGAAGAAGAGGATGCCGTAGAGGGTGTACTGCTCCCGGCCCCACACCGTGGCGAAGATGTAGTAGAGTTCCACCGAGATGGCACTGGAAGAGGAAGGTGGGGTTAGCTGGGGGGCAGCGGTGGGATCCCACCATCTGGTAGACCAACGTGGCAGTGGTGCTGCGAGGGTGGCGGTTGGCTCGTGCTACAGCAGGGGTGGCAGGAGGTGCCCGGAGTGAGACAGGAAGTGGAGACTGGCAGGCCCTGGCTCCCCTGAAGGGCAGGAAGCCCCCGATGGTCATGTGCACAGGCGTGGATTTGTACCAGGGCTGGGCCGGGATCTCGCGGGCGATGTTCTTGGTCCGGCAGGGGGCGTCGAAGGGGCCGGCCCGGTTCTTCCCGAAGATGCCCCCGATGACGGTGAGCGGGAAGCCCACCAGCAGCCAGACGGTCAGCAGGTCGAGCCGTTGGCCCAGTGCACCGAGTTCACCACGCTCCACGTCACGAAGAAGGGAGCTGGGGACACGGGGGCAGGTCAGGGGGCCAGAAACACTCAGACAACCCCCCACCCCAAGGGATCATAGAGACTCCACAAGGGGGGCCAGAGAGACCAGACCTCCTCCCCGAGGGACCATAGAGACTCCCCAAGGTGGGGCAGAGAGACCAGACCTCCTCCCCGAGGGACCATAGAGACTCCCCAAGGTGGGGCAGAGAGACCAGACCTCCTCCCCGAGGGACCATAGAGACTCCCCAAGGTGGGGCAGAGAGACCAGACCTCCTCCCCGAGGGACCATAGAGACTCCCCAAGGTGGGGCAGAGAGACCAGACCTCCTCCCCGAGGGACCATAGAGACTCCCCAAGGTGGGGCAGAGAGACCAGACCTCCTCCCCGAGGGACCATAGAGACTCCCCAAGGTGGGGCAGAGAGACCAGACCTCCTCCCCGAGGGACCATAGAGACTCCCCAAGGTGGGGCAGAGAGACCAGACCTCCTCCCCGAGGGACCATAGAGACTCCCCAAGGTGGGGCAGAGAGACCAGACCTCCTCCCCGAGGGACCATAGAGACTCCCCAAGGTGGGGCAGAGAGACCAGACCTCCTCCCCGAGGGACCATAGAGACTCCCCAAGGTGGGGCAGAGAGACCAGACCTCCTCCCCGAGGGACCATAGAGACTCCCCAAGGTGGGGCAGAGAGACCAGACCTCCTCCCCGAGGGACCATAGAGACTCCCCAAGGTGGGGCAGAGAGACCAGACCTCCTCCCCGAGGGACCATAGAGACTCCCCAAGGTGGGGCAGAGAGACCAGACCTCCTCCCCGAGGGACCATAGAGACTCCCCAAGGTGGGGCAGAGAGACCAGACCTCCTCCCCGAGGGACCATAGAGACTCCCCAAGGTGGGGCAGAGAGACCAGACCTCCTCCCCGAGGGACCATAGAGACTCCCCAAGGTGGGGCAGAGAGACCAGACCTCCTCCCCGAGGGACCATAGAGACTCCCCAAGGTGGGGCAGAGAGACCAGACCTCCTCCCCGAGGGACCATAGAGACTCCCCAAGGTGGGGCAGAGAGACCAGACCTCCTCCCCGAGGGACCATAGAGACTCCCCAAGGTGGGGCAGAGAGACCAGACCTCCTCCCCGAGGGACCATAGAGACTCCCCAAGGTGGGGCAGAGAGACCAGACCTCCTCCCCGAGGGACCATAGAGACTCCCCAAGGTGGGGCAGAGAGACCAGACCTCCTCCCCGAGGGACCATAGAGACTCCCCAAGGTGGGGCAGAGAGACCAGACCTCCTCCCCGAGGGACCATAGAGACTCCCCAAGGTGGGGCAGAGAGACCAGACCTCCTCCCCGAGGGACCATAGAGACTCCCCAAGGTGGGGCAGAGAGACCAGACCTCCTCCCCGAGGGACCATAGAGACTCCCCAAGGTGGGGCAGAGAGACCAGACCTCCTCCCCGAGGGACCATAGAGACTCCCCAAGGTGGGGCAGAGAGACCAGACCTCCTCCCCGAGGGACCATAGAGACTCCCCAAGGTGGGGCAGAGAGACCAGACCTCCTCCCCGAGGGACCATAGAGACTCCCCAAGGTGGGGCAGAGAGACCAGACCTCCTCCCCGAGGGACCATAGAGACTCCCCAAGGTGGGGCAGAGAGACCAGACCTCCTCCCCGAGGGACCATAGAGACTCCCCAAGGTGGGGCAGAGAGACCAGACCTCCTCCCCGAGGGACCATAGAGACTCCCCAAGGTGGGGCAGAGAGACCAGACCTCCTCCCCGAGGGACCATAGAGACTCCCCAAGGTGGGGCAGAGAGACCAGACCTCCTCCCCGAGGGACCATAGAGACTCCCCAAGGTGGGGCAGAGAGACCAGACCTCCTCCCCGAGGGACCATAGAGACTCCCCAAGGTGGGGCAGAGAGACCAGACCTCCTCCCCGAGGGACCATAGAGACTCCCCAAGGTGGGGCAGAGAGACCAGACCTCCTCCCCGAGGGACCATAGAGACTCCCCAAGGTGGGGCAGAGAGACCAGACCTCCTCCCCGAGGGACCATAGAGACTCCCCAAGGTGGGGCAGAGAGACCAGACCTCCTCCCCGAGGGACCATAGAGACTCCCCAAGGTGGGGCAGAGAGACCAGACCTCCTCCCCGAGGGACCATAGAGACTCCCCAAGGTGGGGCAGAGAGACCAGACCTCCTCCCCGAGGGACCATAGAGACTCCCCAAGGTGGGGCAGAGAGACCAGACCTCCTCCCCGAGGGACCATAGAGACTCCCCAAGGTGGGACAGAGAGACCAGACCGCCTCCCCCAAGGGACCATAGAGACTTCCCAAGGGGGGCCAGAGAGACCACACCCCTCCTTCAAGAGCCCCCGGAGACTTCCAAAGGGTGACCAGAGATGCTCTCTTTGCTTCCCCCGGAATCAGAGCCCCCCCTCGCGGGACCAGAGGGGGGCGACTTGCCACCCGGGGCAGGCCCCAGAGACCCTCCCGGGTTTGCCCTGGGACGAGCAGCCACGGGGCTCACCGGAGAAGAGGCTGGTGGTGAGGACGATGTTCCAGACCCAGCGCTGGCCCCCGAGCTG